ATCACTGCGTAACGAAATTTATACCACTAAATTGATTCGTTATAATAAGTCTAAAAATAAAGTTTTGTACACTGCGCTGCCTTAATTGTCAAAAAATTGCAATTTTAAAATTTGTGTTCGGGTGATGCAATACTTTTGACCGCCACTGTACGTATAAGGAACTCCAGTTTCAAACCTAAATTTAAAATGATATGAAATTATATATATATATCAGTGCACAAATAATACGCGAGTAAACATATGGCAGAGAAGAAAAAAGATAAGTTCCAGTCAAAGAAGCGTTCATTAGTTCAAAAGCACTCGATGCCACACCCCAATCGATAAGACAACCTTGTTTTTTGTACACGATATTTAAATATGAAACGTCACAATGAAAATGTGGTGATCATGAGAAAACTTTAAAGCTTTGCAATATCGCAAAGTTTTTAAGTCTTTCAAACTGTGCTGTTTAGCTTCAAGATGTACACCAGCTGGAGTCGTCACCATGAAAATGATCAATTAAAATGCCTTTGATAATTTTACATAAAAATCAGAAATACATTCTATCATCTGAAAGGAATTATTTTTTAATGACTTGGGGAATATTTTTGCGGTTTTTAAGTATTTCAAGCATTTTGAATTCATTATTGAGATTCTCAGAAGCCTTGCAAATAGCTTTTTTTTGAATTTATAAAGCTAAAGAGAATAAACGATCACCGTCCATTATCTTTTTATACAGTCAGTGGAAATGTCACACAATTGATAAGGAGTTTTTTTGTACTATGATATCATAATAAAATTTTTTAGCGTAACATTGTCTTTAGATGTATATTACGTATAAAATTTTATTGGCTAAAATTAGTTCAATTAGTTAAAAATTAACGATCTTTAAATCATAATGCTGGCCGGAATTTTCGTAATGCTGGCCGAAAGTTTCGCAAATTTATAATGCCGGCCTAAATTTAGTTAAAATCGAAAATTTTAAGTTCGGATAACATCACATTTGTACATTATAAATAATTATTGGCATGTTCGTCAAGGTCTTAAAAATATTTTTTATATATTTTAAAATTCAAAAATCAAGTTTATTCAGTTCAATCTGTCCAAAGAAAGTTACCCGTTTTTGTTTGTTTATATAGTATATAAATAAAACTTATATATTTTACGAAATAAGATATGTTTATACAATGTAAACAGTTATTTACAAGTTCATAAGAACTTTTTTATACCTTTAAATTTTATTTTGTTCAATCTTTTCTTTTTTATTCGTATAGTTGATAGTAAATAAAAAAATAAACTAAAGTTTTTAACTCTTTGGTGTCATTTTGACGCGAAGTTTATAAATTTATAATAATTTATAATATTGAACTTTGAAATTGATAATAATTCTACATTATCAGAAGAATTTGGATTAAAAAATGTTGGAAGGGATAGTGAAAATGAAATATTTGGAGAATTTCTTGAGGAGAATAGTTTTGACCAGCTTTCCTTTAAATTTAGCAATGCATTAAATGAAATGTTAGCTCATGAAAATGAAGAAGATAGTAAAATAGAATCATATTCAGATAAATATGATAGTAAAATTGAGGTAGAGCTATCATTAGAATAAAATAACAATAGTGATGATGAACAAAACATCAATAATAAACGTGAAGAAAAAAGGAATGAAATAATTTTAAATGATACAGATGGAGGACCCACTTGCAAACAATCCAATATATAATCAATTCAATAATATCTTATATAATAATTGATAATATTCAAGATACAATTAAATGATATGATGAAACTTATAAACACAAAATTTATATGGAACATAGTAAATAGATCGAGATGTAGTTCAACAAGTCAATAATAATTATTTAGAAGTTTATGATTCACATTTTTTATATGATCAAAATCAAATTCACAATCTCAAAGATAAAGTATCAAAAAAATTTACAACTTCAGATGCTATAATTCAACATCGAAGATGTATAAGATGTAAATTATGTATAACTTTCTATAGCCAAAGGAAAGGATGCAGTAATCATTCCTGGTTAGTTAATAGACAAAATGTTTAAGTACTCTGTAATAGATTAGTATTGAAAAAAACTTTCATATTAGAATGATCTTTAAAAATAGATAACCAAAATGTATCTATTGCAGTTATTATGAATGATTGAGCAAGCATATTCACAGATATATAGGTCAAGGTAAAAAATCAAACTGTGATAAATTACATAAACAAGATATCATAGAAATAATCAATTTTATTGCAAATTGACTTATTAAGATTTCCCATATAGGCAAAGATTTAAAAAAAAAGAAATTTTTAATTCTATTATAAAAACTGTTCTTCCTTTACTTCCTATACTTCTAACTAAAACTACATCTTTATTAACAAAATCTGACAAAACTTTTAACCTTTTTATCATACAAATTCTTTTCCTTAATATATTTTCACAAAATAAACTACAAAATATTGATATAGAAACAATTGATTGTGAAATTTTAGGATAAAAATTCAGAATTAAGTTTTAGAAATCACGTGAAGTAATAAATGAGAAAATGAATTACTAAACTTACCAGGATCACTTTTCGAATATTATCATGTATTTCCAAATTTCATTACAGAGTTTTATAAAGAAATGTTAATAAAAATCTATAAATGAAAACTAGCTGTTAGTAATAAAAAAAAAATAGCAAGAACAAGTCATTAAAACTTTACCTGAAAATATAATTATAAAAATAGTTACATTTTTTGTTTTTGTTCTCACTAGTATAGCATTTCCTTCATGTGATATTTAGTTAACTAATATACTAAGCAGTCTAACATGCAAACTAAAATTATTATCATTACTTCATCATCTTCTTTCTTTATGAAATGTAATAAAACACAATAAACATTATAAAAGAAATTAAGAAAAGGAGTGAATAATGCTGTTTCTATATAAAGGTTATACTAAGAATTAGATATATAGAACCTTGCTGTCATAAATAATATCAACTTCAAACAAAAAACATTCTCCTTTAGAAATATATATGATACTACAAGAAACAGCTCACATGCAACCTTGAGAATAGCATTTCAATTGGTAATTCTCAATTATCTAGTGATGCGTCAAGAAGAATTAATTACCTTAAAAAAAGACAGTTATATATTTGATATGAATCTTACTCTAGATGGATTTCAAAGTATATTAGAAAATTTGCTAGATTTTTAAAGTATAAATGAAAGCAATTTAGAATATAATCAAATTTTGATGTAGAAATAATTAAAAAAGGCTATACTAAAAGAATTTGAACATGACTATTAAGATCCTTCTTCACATATTGTAATTCTTGAATCAGGAGATAATCTAAACTTAGACCAAGCAATTTTAGAAGCTGCCACTATATACAAAACTGTTTTTAATTTGCAAAAGACTGCGTACCTCTATATAGTTGCTAATGAGACTATTTATTATCAGTTGGTTAAATGCTAAGAGCAATGAACTCAATTAAGACTATTGCTTAGATAATGATACATCTCTAAAGATTTCTAATTGTATTGTTCTCTAGTTATAGGCTTCTAAATTTAGTAAGAAGATTAGGTGTTCAATTTTTAGACAAGTTTGAACTGGCCGTTGACTATTAAATAATATCTAGAGTCTTAAACATTTTGTGGGTGGCAGCTGAAGTCTCAATTAATATATTTACAAAGAAAAAAATATTAATTTGTCTAAAATTATGAACAAAATATTGATACTAATATTTTACTAAAAATTTGGTATCTTTATTATCATTAGGCTGAAATATGAAAAGCGAATTAAATGGAAATGAGAATTAGAAATCATAATTTGTAATAAGATGCTTTTGCTACAGTATTACCTCTTTTATCAAATGTGAGTAAATCAAATTACGCAATAGCTATTGCTCAACATCTCTCTACCTTTGCTAAGTATCTAAAATTAAACAAAATTTTGTAACATGTTAGAGCATTTAGAATACCAAAGAATATTGATAATGATGAAAGTGAAAATCAAAAGCCTGTTTGTTTTAGTTTTGACGAATTGTTTGAGACTTTTAAAGTTTATTTTATAAAACAAAATATTAGCAGAAATATTATTAATGAAATAAAATTAAAGACAAATATTAAAGTAACCAAATCAGAAAAAGAGAGAGTTGATTTACTCTTAAATAAATATCTTGAGAATACTTTAATTTCTCAGAGTGAATGTGTCATCAATTCTAGAAGAAAGATCTTATGAGAACTAATAGAAGACTTAGTTATGATTTTTAATATGATAGATCTATTATTACATCAGATTTTTAAAGATCTCAAGCCACTTGAAATACACAAAGAAGGATACAAAAATTTACTTGCATATTATAAAAATGGTTTAAAACGAATGTGAATAATTTACAAATAAGATATGATAAAAAGTAAACCTCAAAATGTATAGGAAAAATGCACATTAGAAGTTTGCTGAATCAGATATAAAGACTATGCTAAAACAAGGAGAATTGAAAGGAAAATAAAGAAAATTGAAAGGGAAACAAAAAAATTAAAAAGGAGATACAAAAGCATAATAAAATAACTCTAAATAATGATCAACTGAAGGTATACTGTATACGCAAAGTTTATTATAGACTTAAATCATATCTAATTCTTCTACATATCTACCACTTTAGTTACATATTGATGACCATAATAACCAAACTTCTAAAAGACAAAAAAAAGTATTTACGCATGAAGAGCAAATACTAGAATATCTGTTAGTTTATGAAAAGATTTCAAGCTATATATATAATAAAACACTTCAATTACTTAGAACTGAATGGGATAAAAAATGGTATATAGTTAGTAGAATTATCATATTAATAAATAATAATTAAATCAAATAAATTTATGTATTATTGTATTATTATTGTATAATATTTACAAAGTTAAATAAACAAGTTATTCTTAATTTAATTTATATTTTAACTTATGATCATATATATAAAAATAAAATTTTGCAGTTTTTACAAAATCAGCAGTCAATATGTCAAATTTTTTTTACATAAAATGAAAAATAGCAACAAAATACATATATCTGGATAGTATTTATGAGCTTTTAAGTACGTTTAAAAGTTCAATTATCAACATGTAAGTAAAAAAGTATGTAAAGTTTAAATAATAATATTTTTTATTTTAAATATTAAAATAACCAAAAAAAATATATAAACGTGTCAAAAAGCATATAAAGAATAAATGGTAAAATTTTTTTATTTAAATATATAGTTTAATTTACTTAAAGATTAATTAGTATAATAGGTTACACAAACTTTATTTATTAATGATCGTCAACTCATGTGACATTTTCAATGACTGATATTAATAATGTAAACTTTAGTATATTAAATATTAATTCTTAATTTATTATTCTCATGAAATTTGATTTATAAATATAATATTATAGATTAAAAATATTTATGATATAAACTTTCATGTTATTTATAAAAAAAGTTTTATTTTTTGATTTTTAAATTGAATTAATAAAAATATTTTATTTAATCAATAATAATTTATGTTTTTATATATATATATAACTTAAGTAATTCAAAATATAATTTATAATAAATAAATTATATATAATTTTTGTATTTTATAAAAATATAATTTATTATTCTTTTATAAATTAATTCATTTTCTTTTATAAATTTTTTTATTATTTTTATAATAATTAAATAAATAATATTAAAATTGTTTTTTAAGATAAAATATTTAATAATTTAATATCTATTATATATATCAAAGTTTATTATTATTTTTTTATAAATATAATTCTTTGTAAATAAATATAATGGTTATATAAAATTAGTATATAATACAAAATACTTTTACATTTAAATCTATTATTACTTTAATTATAATATCATAATATTCAATATCTAAACAGTTAGAAACAAAAATATTGATCTATATAAATTAGTAAAAAAAATACTTAATAATAATATTTAAATACTAAAAAAAGATTAATAAATTCTAAGCAAATCATTTTTTTTAAAAATTAATCCAAACTAATCAAATTAAAAATAGAATAATATAAATAAAGTTATTTTGAAACAACTTAAAATAAATAATATTTTTTAAATTAATACTAATTAATTAATATTAATTTAAATTAGGTAATAGAAGTATATGAAGTTTGATATTTATCAATCACAATATATTGCTTATTTGATAGATCATATATAAGAATAGATAATATATATATCAGCATACATAAAAGCATATTTAACTATATAAATTTTTTAGCTAAAACTTTAAATAATAAGAAGTTTTATATAAAAAGCATAAAACAAATCTATTAAAATATGAAAAACATCTGATAACTAAATATTCAACTTTGTGATTTTAATATATTTAACCTTACTTATTATTTAGAATTTATTAAAATCTTAATAAAAATTATATAAAAAAAGTTTATATGTGATTGAAATTTATTCTTTTACAGAGTAAATCAAATTTTATTAATTATAAATAATAAAAATATAAAGTCTAAAAAAAAAAAAATTAATAAAGCTAATTCTTATTATTTATTTGCAATAAAATTTTAAGTATTATCTCTTAAACTGTAAGTATAAAATTATTTCTAAATATTTTAAGAAACTTAAAATATTTTAACATTTAATAATTATAAAAAAATAAAATAAGATTTTTAGATTTATCATATGATATTTCTAATAGTAGTATTTTTTAAACTTTTAAAATTAATAATTATTAATATATATTAATTTTTCAATTTTTTAATTTTTAAAAATAATTTATTATCTAATAATTATAAAAATATAATATAAAAATATATAACTCATTTTGGCGGTCACTTGACTAAGAATTTTTATGTAAAAAATATATATATTTTAAGAACAGTTACAGCTTAGCTTACAAACAAAAAACAAAAACTCCTTTTATAAACTACTTCTTTTCTTTATTTTTCTCAAACCTTCTTATTTCAAAAAACAGATTTTGTTAATCTAAACGGTAGTGTTTTTTATTAAATATTTTTTTTACCACTTCTTTTAGCTTTTTTTTGTATTTTTTCCTTTTTCTTTTTATTTACAAAAGTGGGTATCAAAAGAGTATCCTAAATAATGATCAGGATCGATAACAACTTTAGATCAACCAATCTTACATGATGATTTTTCCAATTACTTTCCTAAACAATCACAATCTTTTTAGATCTCTGACGTCATAGAGCCTGCTAATCTTAGCAAGATTTTTCAATTTTTTGCAACTGTAATTTGAATCCTATGCAATATCTGCCAGTGGCTGTAATCTGAATTAATAGACATCTTAGCATAGAAGTTTGAGAATACTGAAGAACTTTGACAGAATTTAGTAAAATGGATGCTTATATGCTGAAAGGTTGCTGTAACTAGAAATTAATCAAAAAACTTAGCTAGGAACTTGTTAGAGTCAAATTTTTATTAGCTTCTTTTTTGGTTTAACAATAATTTAAGTTACTTGTTTTTGTATTGAATTTAAATTTAGAATAGGAATTATTGTTAAAGAAAAGAGAGAAGTGTAATAATAATCTAGTTGTCATGCTTTGACAAAGATTCTACTAGTAATTATCTTCTGAGTATGACAGGACAACCAGTTAGTCTGAGGCTAGTAAGTTTATTAACTTGCAAGAATGTTTTAGACAGTTCAATTTATTTTTTTCTACTTTTGTATCTGGTTTTCAGGATTTTCATGTATTAATTTACTAGATTTGAATGTTTGATAATAAATATAAGCATTACAATGTCTTTAAAAAAATATATCAAAATATAAAATTTAATTTATTGGACTTATCACATTAATACCTATTAAATGGTAGTATTTTTATATTTCTGAGATCGATAGATAGCAAGATATATGAGTTTAAAATTTTAATTTTTTTTTTATAATAATTTATTATTTATTTATCTTTAAAAATCACTAGTTAATTACATTTTTTGATTTTTCCTTTTTACTTGCATTTACAATAGTCATTTTATATTAAGAATAAAAGAAAGCCTTAATTCTTAAAGAAAATAACTTACTTTGAAATTTTCTATGTATTGCAAAGTTTAATGAATGTATCGATATTATGATAACTTAACAATCTGAGTTTAAATTATATGAAAGCTTATAATATCTTTTCTCCTCTAAAGAAAGGTATAAGGTAAAGATTTAGGCAATAGTACAGGAACTATTGGTTTTGTTATTGAAGTATTGGATTCGTAAAGTTTCAGGTTTGATAATAATTAAGGAATCGGGTACATTTGGTAAGCTATTTATTGGAGTATAAGAGCAATTAATTTCCGTTAAGGAGTTTGGTAAAGTTGATAACTTAGTTATTTTAGTAAAAGAGCAATTAAGTTTCGTTAAGGAATTGGGTAATTTAGGTAGGATAGTTATTAGAGTACGAGAGCAATTAAGTTCCCTTAAGGAGTTGGGTAATGTTGGTAGAATTGTTATTTTAGTATAAAAGCAATTAAGTTTCGTTAAAGAGTTGGGTAAAGATGGTAGGATAGTTATTGGAGTATGAATGCAATCAAGTTTCGTTAAGGAATTGGGTAATGTTGGTAGGATAGTTATTGGAATACCATAGCAATCAAGTTCCGTTAAGCAGTTGGGTAAAGCTGGTAGGATAGTTATATGAGTATAAGAGCAATTAAGTTTCGTTAAGGAGTTGGGTAATGTTGGTAACTTAGTTATTTTAGTATAAGAGCAATTAAGTTTCTTTAAGGTGTTGGGTAATGTTGGTAGGATAGTTATTTGAGTGCTAGCGCAATCAAGTTCCGTCAATGAGCTGGGTAATGTTTGTAGGATAGTTATTTGAGTATAAGAGCAATTAAGTTCCCTTAAGGAGTTGGGTAATGTTGGTAGAATAGTTATTGGAATACTAGAGGTTAAAGTACCAGAGCAATCAAGTACCGTTAAAGAGTTTGGTAAAGTTGGTAAGCAGGTTATCTGAATATGATTACACTCGAGTACTTTTAATTTCCGATATCTTTGCAATCCTCCTAAGGCGTTTAATATATCTATGTTAACATCCGTAATCGTTAATCTATTAATAGTATCATCGTAAATGATGAATGATGTATCATTTATTTGAATCATTTGAGATAAGTCCCTTGAATTATTAATACTAAAACAAAGGGGTTCTAGTTCTTGATTATTTATTTTATCATTCTCTATTATATTTTCTTTTGTAATAATTGCATTTAAGTCATCAACTACTTTGTTCATAGACGGACGATTGTCTGGCTCTTTGTCCCAACACTCTAAAATCATAAAAATAATTTAGTGATCGAAAACATTATATTTAAATGTAAATCTAAATTTATAATTTATAATAGTCCTTTACCAGTATAAATGTTTACATAGTCTTCAGGCGTACCCGGAATGATACTTTCTCTGAGTCCTTTTGAAATATCTATAACTAATTCAATGTCGTATGGTAAGCCTTCGAAAGGAGGATGACCACTTGACATCTCCCATAACAACACGCCAACACTATAAACATCGCTCTTCTCAGTTAGATTATCTTGCTGCGAAGTAATAGCACTTTTATTTCGTCCACCAAATCTTATTGGATCAATATAAGGAATTACGCCAAAGACTTTTGACTGTTGATTAGATGCCGCTTCAATTCTCTTCGATAATCCAAAATCAGCAAGTTTAATACTACCTTGACGAATTAAAATATTGTCTGAATGCTATAACATATAAATTGTTTATTAATTAATTCAATTCTTAATAGCAATAATAAACAAAATTAAGATATATATGTTATGTAAGATTACCAAATCGCGATGTACAATTCCTTCTTCATGTAGACACGACACAGCACTAGCCAACTGGAATGCAAAGTTGTATTTATCATCCCAAGTAAGCCTATCAAAATTATTTTTAAAATAGGTTCTAAGTGAACCGCCATCAGCATATTCCATTACTAACAATACTTTTTCAAATGAGCATTGTTTTTCTAATTTTTTTTTTTTTAATTTTTAAAAATAAAATAAATAAAAATCAAAAATTCAATATATATCTTCAATAAAGTTCGAGCTAAAAATAAATTTTAGCTTGATATATTAATGATTCATATTAAACAGACCGAAAAACATTTTATGATTTGTAATTACCTCACGAATGATTTCTTTAACAGTGGCGTTGTTAAGGTTATGAAAGGATTTTAACGCGAGAGATTGTTTTGAACTTTTCCAATTTGCACGAAAGACTTTTCCAAAGCTGCCAGTACCGATCTCTTGAACATTACTAAAATGTTCATATTCGTAGCATTTGATATTTTTTTTTAAAATATATTCCTCTATCCAATTAATCCACCTATTTGAATTAATGTCATTTTGCATTTTGATTTTTTTTAATTTTATAAAATGATAAAATTCTTGGAAAAAAGCAAAAAAAAAAAAAAAAAAAAAAAGAAAACGCACTTGGTAAATCATGTAACATTAAATTTCTAAGCCACCGATGACCTAATTCATTTGCATTTAAATAAAATTCGAAAATACATATTTAATATTCATTTCGGATATAGAAAATAAATCATCTTATCGATCGATTATTTATTTTTATTATTAATTTAATATTTTAAAATAAAAAAATAAAATAAAAAAAAAAGAAAAGAATCGATCGTCGAATAGTACTATCGTTTGAAATTATTTTAAAAAACTTTCAAATATTGAAATGCAATTTGTATTCCAATGGAAATCCTGTTCAACAGCTGTCCTCCTCTTCCATTTCTTAAAATTCCTTACCTTCGCCTATGGATGATTACCATGTTAAAAGTGTGACTTTATAATGTTAAATTCGAAAATGGTTCTAAATAAAACTAATCATCGAAAGAAAACTTTACTTCCAACAAAAGCAAATTTAAGTCATTAAGCCGAATATATTACAACATTCACGTCAATATAAAATACTTTTACCGTTTCTAAATTGCAATTATTGCTATAGGATAGAATTTGTGACGAGGAGGTTATAATATCATCTGTATACGTGATTACTATTATTTGCCTTTTGTCTATTTAAATCAAAAAAAAAATGTGTATGTAAATTTATTTATCAACATAATTTGAAATCTATAAACTTCAACAAAGTCATTTAAATAAGCCAATATATTTTTGTTCTAGTGGGCTTGAAAAATTTCAGACCCGCTAATTTTAATTGCAATAATACTTAAATATCTCTTGAAAAGTCAAATAAAAGTAAAAAAAACATACGGTGCAGGTCTGAAACCCAAAAGTTGACTTTAAATATTTGGTAACTTTATCTTGCTACAATATGAGTTCCTTCTTGATAGAATTTATAGCATTTTCTTTATTAATGTAGTAAATTTGAATCTTTTTGTTTACAATACAATATTCCGTTCGATCTTCAAATCAATGATCTCATGGATATCTTTTATGATGATGCAACTTCTTTTGTTCTAGAGGACTTTTTAATGATTATAGCCTTATTCATACTATATCCAGATTCACATGTGGCTGAAGGAAGAGAGACCAAAATTTTTCTATACTATATTTACTTGGTATATCTAGTGTATATTACGAAGAAATTTATATTTACACGCCCGGACAAAAGTATCCGAAAAAATAAAAACTTTATTTCGAAATTTTATATCACCATATATTGAAGCTAATTAAGATAATTATTTAGCATAATAAAGAATGCCAAAAAGCTGGATCATATTATTATTATTCAAAATACATTTCCAAACTTCCCATATAATAAAAAAATCCTGTTTGACGATCACGTGTAGATATATATAAGATTAAATAATAAAACCTTACCTTGAGTCGTTTTTCTTTTGAAAACTCTCTAAATTCCGAATTGATTCCCTCATTTCCTCCTGTACATAACAACCACATTTCTGAAACTGTCCTGTTATCGATTCTTTCAATATCTAATTGATATTGTATCAGCTACACTACTACGGATTTTGCGACAAGCATCTGTCATGTGAATCTTCGCTTCCCATATCGTTCGAGTTTCTTGTTGTTCATTTATGTGATGTAGACTACATGATTCTATATTCCTCAAAAAGAGCATCTCCTTGTTACCCCGGACATTACTGAATCGACGCAAGATCTCCCTAATTTCTATGGTTCGATTTGAAATTTCACTTTGTTCCGCTAATTATTTGGTTCTAAGTGGAAGTCTAAACAATGTTTTCTTTCCGAATCCTACTGCTTCATTAAAACTGCAATCTTTCATAAAATCGAAACATTCGAATAAGACCTTATAAGGATAGCATTGATCTGTAAACTTCCACAACTCCTTATCAATAAAATTAAATCTAATGCCCCTACACCTTCTGGGAGGGTATCCTTGTGCTTTAAGAAATTTAGCATTTGGATCTAAAAACGCAATATATTGTCCGCTTATAATACTTGGTAAATCCGTGACGTGAAAAGCACAATTGAATCCAATCCCAAATCTTCCAATTTTAGTATCATCTTTAGTTTTTCCTCCAACTCCGAGTTTAATCAAAGCTCGAAAGTCTATATTAGTAAATTCAGCATCATTGTATATCCATATCGCGGGACCTTGCCAACCTTCCATTTCGTCTGACAACAAAGAATTTTTAGAAGGATCATGCTTAAATTTTTTTCTTTCATCTATTATTACTGAAAATTGTTTTGCACCAGCGTCATCTGCATTCTACATTTAGAAAAATCATAAATAAATGTTTTCGCATATAATTGAAACTATTGTAAACTTATTACTTACTTGAAGGAATTCTATAAACAATATTTCTAATGGATAGTCCTAAACAATTTAATAAAAAAAATTAATATCTGACAAAACATTAAACATCTATATATAAAAAATATTAATATTTAAATGAAATAGTTACACTAATAATATTTTTTATTCTGGTAGTCAAGGATTCTCCTTTTTCATAGATATCCCGATTAAAATCTCCGGATTTAATACCTAGTAAACGAAATAAATGCAGAATTTAGATAAAATATTATCACTTAGAACTCAAGAAAAAGTAAATTTATCATATATTTTTCCTGTTAAGGTTTGAAGTTCTAATTCTCTAGCAATATCAAGGGTCATGAGTTGATGAGCAATTTTAAATTCACTCCTCTTTTCTTCGTCAAGTCTATCTCCCATATCATCAAATTGAATTTCATCCAAGTTTATAAATTCATTTTCAGTGCTCGGAATTAATAATCCTTCCAAACTTTCAGGTTTCTTTCCTTCTCTCTTATTATCCTGTTGTAACCTTGCAATCTGTTCAAGAATTTAAACAATTTCTTTAGCAACATTCTAACATCCATTAAGATTTAATTCGTAATAAAGCACTTAAACTATTAAGATATATTGATGATAACTGAGACAAGTTAACCGTTAATAATGATCAAGTATTCTTGAATACACTGTTGGAAACTGAGTGGATCCCTACCGTCAAAAAATACTTCTCGAAACCTCAAGATTGCTGTTGTCAAAAAGATAAAGATTTAGTTTGTCTGGTTGTTCCAATACTTGAATGCAAAGTTAAAAACAAGGAGTTTTTAAAACATTTGAAGTGGGATACTTTTCCTGAAGTCGAAAAGGTTCTACAGCAGTTAGAGTTATGTTATGAATCAAAACAACCACCAAATAACTTGGAAAAGATTTGCAGCGCAATTTACGAATATATGAGTAAAACTCTACAAGCAAACGAGGAAATATTCAAGAGTCAATTGGAAAATAAACTGTGGATTTTACGTGA